TACCTTTTCATCTCTTTCTCTCTGGAGTAATCAGACTATATAGTTTCTCTGGATAACACCATCGTCATTTCTTTCGCCTCTTCTCCAACCATATTCCACTCTTTCGCTCTTTGAAAAAAGCTTCTTATTCCTTCTGTCTGCTCATTTAATTTCCAATTTCGCCTCATCCCCACCCTGTCATTTCTCTCTTTCTCTATGTTCTTGCACCAGCACTGCATATACCCGGCTATTTATTTGTAGCTGGGAAATCTGGTTACATGCTTTCGACTGTTCTTTGTCTATTGGGTTTCTTCTTTTTTCCTTTTCTTTTCTTCTTCTTTTCTTTTTTATGTATTTTTATTTCTTATTATTCACCTTCCCTCCTTTCTCTTTTCTTTAACGTTTTCCCTTTCGGTTTGCGTGTTTGTTGGATTTGTCTGTGCCTTTGTGTGCCTTTGTTCCCTGTGTGTTTGTCTGTTTTCTTCTCCAGGGCTACCTCAAGAAACAAGCCAAAGTACACATGGTGGAGAGTCCCAAATACCACTACGAGTAGAAAATAAAATAACCAAGGTCTCAACAAGAGAGACCAAGAGATACCATTCAAAGAACACTTTCTGAACAGACAGGCCCTGGACAGTCAAAGTGCCTTCTTTGGTACAGCAGCACTCACAGGTGCGGAGTGCATAACAAGCTTTTAAAACTAACAAGAGATAGAAATCCTACCAAAATGATGAAACAAAAGAGCTCTACTCCAAAGAAATTCCAGGAAGAATGACAGCTAAAGAACTGCTCAAAACAGATATAAACAACATAACTGAACAAGAATTTAGAAAAATAGTCATAAAGTTAATCTCTGGGCTTGAAAAAGGCATGGGAGACATCAGAGAAACTATTGCTACAAAGACTATGGAGCTTAAAAATAGTTGTGATGAATTAAAAAATAGTATAAATGAGATGCAAAGTAAAATGGAGGCATTCAATGCATGGATTGAAGAGGCAGAAAGGAGAATAAGTGATTTAGAAGACACAATTATAGAAAAAGAGAGATAAACTGATACAGGAACACGAAAGGAGAGTTTGAGAGCTCAGTGATACAATCAAACGGAATAATATCTGTATCATAGGAATTCTAGAAGAGGAAGAGAGAGGGAAAGGCGCTGAAAGAGTCCTGGAACAAATTGTAGCAGAGAACTTCCCCAATCTGGGTAAGGAAACAGATGCTGAAATCCAAGAGGCACAGAGAACTCCCCTCAGACGTAACTTGAATCGATCTTCTGCACGACATATCATAGTGAAACTGGCAAAATATAAGGACAAAGAGAGAATTCTGAAAGCAGCTAGGGATAAAAGGGCCCTAACATACAAAGGGAAACCTATCAGAGCAGTGAGAGACCTATCTACTGAAACTTGGCAGGCCAAAAGGAATGGCAGGAAATCTTCAATGTGATGAACAGAAAAAATATGCAGCCAAGAATCCTCTATCCAGCAGGCCTGTCATTCAGAATAGAATGAGAGATAAAAGTCTTTCCAAATAAACAAAAATTGATAGAATTCGTCACCACCAAACCAGCCCTACAAGAAATCCTGAGGGAGACCCTCTGAAGGAAATGTTTAAGGAACGCAAGATACCAGAGACATCACCACAAGCATAAATCCCACAAAAGACACGATGACTCTAAACCCATATTTTTCAATAATAACACTGAATGTAAACAGACTAAATGCCCCAATCAAAAGACATACGGTAGCAGAATGGTTAAAAAAAAACAAAATCCATGTATTTGCTGTTTACAAGAAACTCATTTTAGACTGGAGGACACCTTCAGATTGAAAGTAAGGAGATGGAGAAATATATATACTACTGGAAGTAGCTATACTTATATCAGACAAACCGGAATTTAAAGTAAAGACAGTAACGAGGGATGAAGAAGGGCATTATATAATAATTACAGGGTCTATCCATCAGGAAGAGCTAATAAGTGTCTACGCACCAAATATGGAAGCACCTAAATACATAAAACAATCACAAACAGAAACATTCTTATTGATAAGAACATGCTAATAGCAGGAGACTTTAATACTCCCTTACAGCAATGGATAGATCAACTAGAGAGAAAATCAATAAAGACACATGGACTTAAATGACACATTGGACCAGATGGATTTGACAGATATATTTAAAACTCTACATCCTGAGGCCATGGAATTCACTTTCTTCTCAAGTGCGCATGGCACATTCTCCAAGATAGATCACATACTGGGACATAAAGCAGCCCTCCATAAATATAAAAGAATTGAGATCATACCATGCACACTTTCAGATCACAATGCTTTGAAACTCGAAATCAATCACAGGAAGAAGTCTGGAAAATCTCCAAAAACATGAAAGTTAAAGAACACCCTACTAAAGAATGAATGGGCCCATCAGGCAATTCGAGAAGAAATTAAAAAATATATGGAAACAAATGAAAATGAAAATACAACAATCCAAACTCTATGGGATGCGGCCAAGGCAGTCCTAAGAGGAAAGGACATTGCACTTCAGGCCTATTTCAAGAAATTAGAAAAAACACAAATACAAAATCTAACAGCACACCTAAAGCAACTAGAGGGAGAAAAACAAGACCATCCCAAACCCAGTAAAGAAGAGAAATAAAAATAAGGGCAGAAATCAACAATATAGAAACCAAAGAAACAGTTGAACAGATCAATGAAACCAAGAGTTGTTTTTTTGAAAAAATAAACAAAATTGACAAACCTCTAGCCAGGCTTCTCAAAAAGAAAAGAGAGAGCACTCAAGTAGACAAAAATCATGGATGAAAATGGACTGATTACAAACAACCACTCAGAAATACAAGCAATTATCAGGGAATACTATGAAAAATTATATGCCAACAAATTGGACAACTTAGAAGAAATGGACAAATTCCTAAACACACACTCACTAACAAAATTCACATGGGAAGAGATAGAAAACCTGAACAGACCTATAACAAGTGAGGAAATCGAATTAGTTATCAAAAATCTCCCAACAAATAAGAGCCCTGGGCTAGATGGCTTCCCCAGGGAATTCTACCAGACATTTAAAACAGAATTAACACCCATTCTTCTCAAACTATTCCAAAAAATAGAAATCGAAGGAAAACTTCCGGACTCATTTTATGAAGCCAGCATCACTCTGATTCCCAAGCCAGACACAGACCAAGCAAAACAAGAGAACTACAGGCCAATATCCTTGATGAATACAGATGCAAAAATCCTCAACAAGATACTTGCAAATCAAATTTAACAGCACATAAAAAGAATTATCCACCAAGATCAAGTGGGATTCATTCCTGGGTTACAGACTGGTTCAATGTTCGCAAATCAATCAATGTGATACATCACATCAACAAAAGAAAAGATAAAAACCATATGATTCTGTCAATAAATGCAGAAAAAGCATTTGACAAAATACAGCATCCTTTCTTTTTTCAGGAAATGATGAGAAGCTGAGTTTCCCAAGAAGATGTTTTGGGGGAAGCCATCATTTGCATATACTCAGGAAGCAAAAGAGCCCAAGAGAAGCAAACCACAAATGCTCTTCCCGACACCCTCCCTTCCCTGCACCCATTGGCAGATCTGCAGATCCCTCAAGGGATGGATGTGGGGACACAGGGTTTGAGAAGAGGAACGGTAAGACCTGTGAGATCTAAAATCAGAATGTCTGAGTACAAATCATAGCCCTGCCATTCACCACTAAGTGATCTTGGACTTTTCCAGGACTTCTTTTCTTATTTGTAAGCTAAGGGTAGAAAAATGTCTGCCTCAGATACCAAGATCATAGGCAATGACAGATTCATGCATCTCCAAGTGTGTGTGGCATATAATAAATTCTCATGAGATTGGAAAGTTATTACTCATGATATTTCCTGAGGCCTGGAGGCATCAGCCAACACTAGATGATTGGGATCAGGATATAATTACAGGTGCAGATCTTATAGGCAGGAATCTCCGTGTCTTGTATCCCCTGTTTTCCTCTTCACTCTGACCCAGCAGGGAAGAGGCCCACCAAGGCAGTAATACACAAGTGTGTAATCATTTTATCCAGAAAGAAGTTACCTTGCCTTAGGAGCCTGGTGGAGGGTGGGCAGTAAGTTTAGAGAAGTAGAAAAAGAGAGTGACTAGCTGGGCGCTGCCAAAACATGTGTTCAATGTACATTTCATGTAGAGTGGATGTGATGTGAAGACATTAATAAGGAAAGCATTTTCAAATATCCCATGTGTGTGCACATGCCTGTGCCCACTCATACGTGTACACACACACATACACAAGTGCATTCCCAAGTATATATAAAGTGTGGCCCAGCATGCTAGTGTACAGATAATTTTGAGGATTACATGAAATTGTAATACATTTAAAAGCTTAGCAAAGATTTGGCACATAGGAAACATCCAACACATCATTAACCAAAGTCTGGGAGTACACACAGCAGAAACGGAACTCTGGAGTCCTCAGAGTGTGTGATAAGTGATGCCTCTTCTGTTTCCCTCTCAGCATTTTCTGAGATTTCTGCAGTTAGCCTCCACTGAGAGGCCAAGCAGCATAACATGGTTAAAAGAAGGAACCGTGAAGCTGGGTGGCCTGGACATGAACCCCAGCAGCTACACTGACTTAAGTAGCTGACATTTGGCCATTAACTCTCTCTGCCTGAATTTCTCCATCTGCTGATGGGTAGTCCAGTCCTAGCTATCAGGCCGGGGTATTGTGAAGAGTAGATCATTTAATACATACAAACTGGTCCTTGTGGCAGACTGAAGCATCCCCTGTCTGGATACCGCTAGTAACCAGCTGCAGGTGATGGATCCATAGAGGAAATGCCCACATCACTGTTTCATGCTCTCAGATGACACCCAGTCCTTGGCCTTCTGTGGCAGCCCTGCGCAGCACACCTGTGCTTACCTGGAGGCCCTCAATGTTCAGGGACAGTGGCAGGTTGAGGGGGCAGGGAAAGAGAATTGTACCCCAAGGCAATGCTTACCTGTGAGTCCCAACAGCATAGCCAGCAGCAAGTAAGGAGGAGGGTGGGGCCCAGAGGCAGGGGCCGACATCATGGAAGCCTGCGCACCCTCTCTGCAAATATGTGTCCTGGGGAGAATGGGTCTCTGCTCTATAGAGAGGAAAGCCTGCCTCCTCCCATGATTAAGAGGAAGTGCCTATGACGGGGTGACGTGGCTGTGAGGCAGCAATCTGCTTCTAGATTGTGAAATAGAAGTAAGGTAGAGAAGGCCTCACTTGGTGAGGGCTCCTCTTCTTACATTTCAGAGAGAGTGGAGCGGCCCTGAAGAAATACTACTTCCTCCCTGCATAGGTCTCTCCCCCCTCCTTTGGCCTTCCCTGCTTTTGAGGCCTCAAGTTGGGTAAAGAGATTACAGAAGTCAAATGGATCAATCTTTTCTTTTATAGATTGTGTTTCCTGTGTCTTATCTAAAATGTCTCTGCTCACCCAAGACCATTGGGTTCAGTTTTGCTTTTTCCTACAATTTCTTTCATTTTTGCTTTTTTAAAAATAGTTTATTGTCAAGTTGGTTTCCATAAAAAACCCAGTGTTCATCCCCATAGTTTCTTTCAGAAGTTTTAGAGTTTTAGTCTTTAAATTTATGTCTGTGACATGAAACGATGCTCAGCATCCCTCCTCATCAGGGAAATACAAATCAAAACCACACTGAGATACCACCTCACGCCAGTCAGAGTGGCTAAAATGAGCAAATCAGAGAACTCTAGATGCTGGCGAGGATGTGGATAAACAGGCACCCTCCTACACTGCTGGTGGGCATGTAAACTGGTACAGCCCCTCTGGAAAACAGTGTGGAGGTTCCTCAAAAAATTAACAATAGAACTCCCCTATGACCCAGCAATAGCACTGCTAGGAAATTACCCAAGGGATATAAGAGTGCTGATGCATGGGAGCACATGTACCCCAATGTTCATAGCAGCACTCTCAACAATAGCCAAAACATGGAAAGAGCCTAAGTGCCCATCACCTGATGAATGAATCAAGAAGATGTGGTTTATCTATACAACGAAATACTACATGGCAATGAGAAAGAATGAAATCTGGCCATGTGTAGCAACATGGATGGACCTTGAGGGTGTTATGCTGAGCGAAATAAGTCAGGCAGAGAAGGACAAATACCATATGTTTGCACGTGTAGGAGGGTTAGGAGGATTAGGAGGAACGTAACGGAGGACCGCGGGGGAGAAGAAGGGAGGAAATAGTGGGGGAGGGGGAGACAGGCAAACCATGAGAGACTCTTGAATGCTGAGAACAAACTGAGGACTGATGGGTGTGGGGAGGAGGGGGCAGACGGGCATGGAGGAGGGCACATGTGGGGATGAGCACTGGGTGTTATATGGAAATCAACTTGACAATAAACTATTTGTAAAAAATAAATAAATAAATTTATGTCTGTGATCCATTGATCCTATTAATTTCTTCTTAGTATTTTTGTGTATATTATACAGTAACTACTATAAGGTACTATGTTTTACACAATATTCAATTTGT